AAAAAAAAAAAAAAAAAAAAAAAAAAAAAAAAAAAAAAAAAAAAAAAAAAAAAAAAAAAAAAAATCCATTTGGGAGGTTTAAAATTTTTCAATTAGAATCTGGTGATCATATCTGTTTGATTTCATTTACAAGCATGAGTTTCAATGAAAGGAATCTGATACCTCCCTCCCCTGGCCTGGGCAAATTGGCACTTCACAAACTGTTACTTCCAACACAATAATGAAGGCTGAATAGCATGTCATCCATCAGCATCTTTCATTAAAGTTGCCCACTTTCCCCTAAACTGAAATGAAGCCATGAAAAGAACTACCATCATCTATGAAGAAAAAGACACCCCCTTTTCAAATGCCACCATAAAAGCTTAAGAATTGACCGCTCTGGTTTTTTGCTATCCCAATTCTCAATATTTCATTAGTGGAAAATTTTCTCTATACTGAAAAGGAAAGTTTCTTCACACAAGGCATCAAAAACCCAGAATTGCAGTTCATAGGAAGCTTGGAGGCTAATTTCCAAATCCATAACCAGTGGAAACATACAAGAAACCAAATAATGAACCAATCATGGGATTTTTCCATCAAGTCCTTTTATGCTTAGGTATATGATATTTGAACCATGTCAGGGATTCTTCTTTCATCGTGTCACGTAGAGATCAAATGGACAGGAAAAGACACGATTAGAGCCTACACAGCAAGACATAAGCATAAACACCATGACACCATTTCCTGTTCTCTGATTTGCTTACAAATATATCCAAAGAGCTAACTAAGAAAGGTTCTATCCTATCTAAGAACATACAAGTCAGTAAAACGGATTTGGGTTGGATTTTAGAGCATGTTTGAATTGAAAAACAAGCAGGAAAATTTGGTAAACAGCTGAAGAAATGACAAAAGATCTGGATAGGAAACAAAAACTGAGTGTCAGGTTAAGTGCCAAGAGATATCATATGTTGTTCAAGATAGATTACTTAATTAATCTACTGGAAGAATTATAGTTACTCTCTAGAAACATAAACAAGCACAAAAGAAACAGGTTATATCATCCAGTTAATTTGAATATAGCATTCCAATCAATCCATATAGAGCTGCAACCAATCCAAACAAGCCAAATTAAACCATAACTTGCTAACAATCCATTTTGCTTGTCCACAGCCTATCTGCAGGGAGTATGAACAACAATACTTCGAATCAAAATTAGACTGCAATATAATTTCTCCTTCAATTTTCTCTCAAAGGAAAATCCTCATCTTCCAACAAGAAGCAGCAAAAGCAGAATGAGAAGAAAAAAGTGTTGAGCCCTTGCCCCCTTGACTAATTATCAAGATGCAGACAGAAACAGAAAGGGGTCCCAGATGGTCAAAGAAACGAAGCAAAAGAGGTTTTACTTTCCCGGTTGTCCTAAATTTTTCTCCAAACAAAAGGAGGGAAAAATGACAGAGAGCGAGAGAGAGCGCTGGATGCAGAGGTTTATCGACCGGTTCGTGTTTTTGCGTTCGATTCATTACAAATCCCAAGAAGAGGTCGATGAACCGCTGCTTCCACTGACTCCACCTCCCATTCAATCAAGAAACAACGAACAGATTAAAATAATAATAATAATAATAATAATGAAAGATCCAAATCAACAACGAACGGAAAAAGAAAGGCAGATCTAAAACTCGAAAGACGAAAACGAGAGCCCATACGCATCTGAAAAGCTAGACTATTGAATGAGAAAGAGGGGGAGGGGGAAGGGGCGAAAAATGGAAGCGTCGCCATTGCCATCAATTGTAATTTGGGGAGTTGGAAGAATCGCGGAAAGTGCGAGGGTGAGATGGATGGATGGATGGATGGATGTGTAAGGAAAGAGGAAGAACGTGTGGGAAATTGGGAGTGATTATAAAGAGGACGAAGAGATGGAGATGATTGAGTGGGGCGGTTTTGTCGTCATTTTCAGAGGAAAGTGAAATCAATGGCTGAGAATGATCGGGGAAGGAGTCGCCGGCGAGATGCGAGAGGCGACGGCGGATTTAAGGCCGGAAGTAACGGACAGTCCAATAATTCTGCGGTAGACGCCGGCTTTCGCTTTATGGCTAAAATCTAGATTCGGGTCCATGTTCTTTGTTTAATATATTAAATATTAATTTAAATACTAGATAAACCTTTTAACCTACCTATTATAAATTTTAATAATACAAACTTAATTAATTATATTATTTAATTAATCCATTTTTATTCATTAATTCTATATCATTGTGTGTACTCTTAGTTGCACTCTTATGCATCATCGTAGGACAAGTTGTCTACCTTGATATAATCATTACAAACAAGTCAATTTTGCACAAGTTATGCATACTTACCGTTATGTTAAAAGTTCATTTTACCATTATAATTACATATTTCACCTTAACTACCACGGATTTTCTACTTAACAATTTGTTTATGATCTAATCATAAATCAAGTCCCTCTCGAAGAGTGTGAGAGTGGAGCTTCATTGTTCAAGTCTCAAAATCAATACTTGAAGAACTACTCATCTACTTACTCTACATGAGAAAGAGATGATTACATCTCGTGAAATTATGTTTCCAGTTTCCTATTTGGTCGAGCATCTAAAACAGTAGACATATTAAACATGTTACAAAACTGTTCTCACCCATGCAAATCAAAGGACAACCACTCACAGACAAGAGATCATAACTCACTCAAGATTAAAATCAAGTCGCATAGGATCATAATATGAAATATTAATCTTCTCAATTAACGAGTTTATAAATAAAGATTAAATATTTCATGATTGTATAAGATAAATCTATTCATACGAATGATCCATATCAAATCATTAGTAACACAATTACAAAGTAGGCCACATTAACACATTCAACCTTATCCATATATTATAGATGTTTTAGGTTATTACTTGAGCATAATTCTACGTTCAATATAATATTTAAAAATAGCAATATAAGTAGGGTCATAATATCAAGTATAGTAACAAATGAATTTGATTTATGAGATTAATTAGACCGGTAATCCAGCTAGACGATAATCTACATGTTCAATCCTCAAATTCATCTTATCGATTGTCAAATCACACAATCTAAAAGATAAACACGAACATAATTTAGATGCTGAAAATTAAAAACGTGGTCAACATTTGGATTGGATTAGATTCGAGAGAGATCGAAGAAGAACATGAGGGGGTGTTGGAAGGACAAAAAAGGAAGAGGAGGTTCCAAGAAAAGGGGGAAGAGTGAATGGATAAAATGATTTAAAAATAAAAATGAATAAATAAAAGCTCTTAAGAGACAAAATCATGAAGCTTAGGTGTGTACCAAAAATAAGGCCCCACCGACCACACGGTTTTCTATTTTTGAGACCATACAAATCCCACATCGCCACCGCAAGTTTTCTCTCCCAACTTCAAATAACCACCCTATTTCCCCCGCCATTCCTCTTCCTCCACCGTCGCCGTCGCCGCCGCCACATGTCACCGTTGCTTCCTCGCACATATACCTTTTCTCTGCGTCTATCAATAAATCGCATTGTTTCGGCATTGTGAAATCCCCTTCCAGATATGGCTGCACTCGCAGTTGAGCAGCTTAATCAATTGCGCGACATTTTTGCTCGATTCGATATGGATTCTGATGGAAGCCTCACGATTCTGGAACTGGCGGCATTGCTCCGATCCCTCGGTCTCAAGCCTTCCGGCGACCAAATCCACGTTCTCGTCGCTAATATGGATGCGAACGGTAATGGCTCTGTAGAGTTCGACGAATTGGTAACTGCGATTAGGCCAGATTTCAACGAGGAGATAATGGTAAATCAGACACATCTTCTGGAGGTTTTTCGTTCGTTCGATCGAGACGGCAATGGATATATAACCGCGGCGGAGCTGGCGGGCTCGATGGCGAAGATGGGACAGCCATTGACGTACAGAGAGCTAACAGAGATGATGAAGGAAGCCGATACGGATGGCGACGGCGTTATTAGCTTCAATGAATTCGCCTCTATAATGGCGAAATCGGCATCTGATTTTCTAGGGCTTGCAATCTCTTGATTAGGTCAGAATCGTTTCTTAATCTTCGATGCCTTCGAAACTTGAAACTGTAATATAATTATCGAAAGTTTTCCCACTTCGATCTAATCTAATCAGCCAACACCACCGCCGTGATCTTAGAATGTTGTAATAACCTAGTGTATAATCATCGAAACTTTATGGACCTGATCAGAATGTGTTGTGATCTTGACAAATTATACTTTGAATTTTGATCTTGGTTTTTCTAATAAAGATATTTTAAAGCGTCCCAGTATGTTTTAGGAATTTTTTTGTACTTTCTTGTGCATTTAATCCCAAACTTTACAACTTATAATCTATCAATAATCAAATCAAAGTCCCATTTTCTTTGTTGTCTCTAAACGGAAGCAAGTGCTGAGAAATGAGTCTTAATTAGTTTCCAAAAGTTCTATAATCATATTATTTTTCTATGAAAATGGATTTTCGAAGAACCCACCTTGATCGAGGTGGAAAATGACCGAATTCGGGATAAGTCGGTGGATAAGCACAAGCACATTTTCATTGGTAATGGCTCAATCTCTCTCGCTCTCTATAATGGTTGAACAAAAAAAAATGTCAATTGAATTATTAATATTTTAAGCTAAATTATAATTAAAAAAAAAAAAAAAAAACTTTTGAAACTTTTAAGTTTTTGTTTAAAAAGTAATCAAAGTTTTTGATTTAAAAGTATTGAAAAAAATTTAATATTTTAAATCGCTAAACAAAAAATTGACACAAGAATGACATGAAACACAGTGATTCATATATTACTTGTTTGTTGCTTCCCAGCACGACGGGTTAGGTTGATTGGTTTCTTAATATATTGTCTTACTTCCCCTTTTTTCAGGTTGGAGGAGTCTCTGATTGTAACTTCTGGCTTTCCATTGAAGGAAGAAGAGCTCAGCTATAAGATATAAGAGATATGGTTTCTTTCCACCCTAAAACCCTTTCTTCAACCCAATAGAGGAGTCGGCGACGTGATCCTTTCGAGTTTCAGCCGATCCTCGAACTATGCTTATAGATTCCAAGATGAGCCTACAAATTTCAATACTTATGTGCAGGCATCGAAGCCCTCTGTCACAATTATTAGTACATTCTAAGGATTGCATTTATTCATACAATAGAATAGGATCATAGTTTTCTAAACTGAACTAGAAAAGAACTACTGAAGAGCCTCACTTGTCCAGAGGAAATTTTGGAAATTGCAGCCTCCTTGTGCGTCCTGAAGAGTTTCATCGCACCCAGCGCCGAGATTCTCCATGAACATTTGTAACTAAACAAAAACCACAAAAAGAAGTATGAGCATGATCCTTGCACAATTTAATACTGACCCGGAAATACCAAGAACAAAGCAACATCTGAACTTCGTTTCTTAACTAAAGGCAACACAAGTTTGAATGATGGATGAATATGTCCATAAACCTTGATAGTTTGACATCATGTACATTCCTAACTGGAAACGACAGCTTAAGTTAGTATTCTGGGAGTAGATCGTAGTTGCAGTTTACGAAGTGAAACTTAGAAAACAAAACCTCATTTTTCAATCTCTCCATCTATGTTTCTCTCTCTCAGATGCTGTACGATCTTTTCCAGAGCGATGATGATCTCTGGGTGAAGAATCTCTATGTCTGTGCTTGTGATGTTTTGAGTGTTTTCTCCGGCTCTTATTTTCTTGAGAAGATCCTTTCTTTCTATTTCTTGATCTTGAGTGCTCTTTACCATGATAATCACTCGACTCACTATCATCTGAGTCACTACTTTTATACCTGCGTCTCCTTGAGCGTTTTCTTCTCTTTTCATCTTCCGATGATGAGCTGTTGCTACATTCACGATGAATCTCAGCTCGCCTGTGAGGTTTTCTATCCTCCTTGTACATCTTTCCTCCATTAACTTTACTCGCATTTTTCCCGGAAGAACTGGTCTCCATAAATTTACCATCACTTCCAGCGGAGTTATGATTGATTTCATTGTCTTCTTTTCTGCCACTTAGACCAAGTTCCTTGGTGCCTGTTTTTCTGTGTTCCGATGGAATCCCAGTGGATGATGGGGTGGGATAAGTCTTGTTTTCAGTCGAAAGGATATCAGTATTTTGTTCACCAATAGGCACAACTTCTGTCTGAGGAGCTGCAGTTTGGCCTTTCTTTGATGGAGGCAGATCTGGAGGCACTTCCAGACCAAGTTCTTTACCCAAAGATTCCAGAAAGTCACCCGCAATCAAACGGTTTAGTGTTGTATTAGCCACTTCAACTTTCTTTTTAGGATCTTCAGCTTGCTTGAGAGTTGATGTACTCTCTTCGTCCTCAGACTCATCAGAGAAAATAGCCTACAAAAAATTTACAGGACCAGGTCGTTAGAGGGAGGTCAGTATCCATGTAAAATCAACACTAGAAGTATGCAAAGCTGAATTTAACATTTAGGCAACCTATGAGTTCAGCCATGCGGGCAAAGAAATGATAGAGAATGCAGGCAAAGAAGTAGATACAGTTCACAAAGTACGACTTTAAAGAGCACAAGTTGTGGGATTGAAAAGAGAAAAAAAAAATCCTTTGTTTAAGAAATAGTATAAGGTTTACTAAAACAACTGAAGCATGAAAGAGAGCATAGATATATAGCTCACGGTCAGAGAGTGAGAGTTCCAGACATCCCCATAAACTCGAAGATGTCATTTTCCAAGGGAGAAGAGATAAACACGTTTTCTGTATATTAATATTTAATTTGCAAAGAAAATTAAATCACTCGGGGGACAAAAGGCGCTAAGCAGAACGGTCTTGGCTCAACTTCAGGGTGGTGTATAAAGATGAGGCTGATATATAAAAGGAAAAAAGGTTGAACATCATATGCAAACCAGAAAGATCTTATATCCGATATCAAGAGGAGAGAAATAAAACTAGTTGATAGAGAGAGGAATAGGAGTATGAATACGTGAAGAAAGGGAACATTTCGTACATATAGATTTTTCTGCTCTTGTTTATTTTGTATAAAGTAGCAGTGACAATATATGGCTCCTAACGGAAAAAATGCCATGCAAGTTCCTCGCACCAGT